TCCCGTCCGGGGGCTCTACCCCACCCATCAGAAGATGGAGGTACTTCGTACCTCCACCTTCGAATGGGGGGGCAGAGCCCGCTATCTCGCCCGGGCCAGCGCTATGCGCTGATCCAGGCGAGGACGGGATATATTTTCTCTTAAAAAGAAACAAATTGTTGTATTGTATGCGCTAAATACGATATTTCTGTCTCTTTTATTCATTTTTGGTTTATATCCCTCAAACTCCACCCTTTAGAAAAAGGGCGGGTCATCACTAAGTTATGGGGTCCTAAAAACAAACAAAAAAACTACTGACTCAACTCGTAGATCCTCTAACCTTTAAGGATTATGTACTACCGCGGCAAACCACTACTCCCGCACCTGTTAAGCCTGTTAGGTCGTTTTTCGGACGCAGTCCGAGTTACCCAAAATTGAACTGGGTTGGTCTGGTCAGACCAACCAAGTTCAATCGAAGGGCTCATTCAGGGTCCGAAGGGTGAGACAAAAATGAGCTACCCCGCCAGTGACACTGGCGGGGTTATGGATCAGAAGGGAAAACATAGAGAAATTTAGGGCAATATTCTCTTTCGGACTCGAACCAAAATAGACATTTTAGAAGAATGTAGCTCTAACCATTGAGCTAAGAGAATAATTAACTCACCCCGCCAGTGACACTGGCGGTGTTAAGGACTTACACTGTCGTGGCAGGTCCCTACGGGGAGCCGAAGGCTCCCCGTAGGGACAAGCCACAACCAGGGACAAGCCACAACCAGGGGCATCCAGAAACATTTTTGGAGTACTTCGAAAAATGAAATTAGGGGAATCCCTGTAGAAGATATACTTCGGGTCGCCCGTGAGTTAAAAACTCACGGGCACCCCATAATTTTCAATGCTACCTCCCTGGCCTTTGCCGGGAGCTAGCGAGAAACGCGGAATTTATCCTTTGACGAGAGCATTAACAAAAGCCCTGAGGGATCCATTCGGAGTCCGCAGGAGCCCCGCCAGTGACACTGGCGGGGGTTTGATCAAAACTTTATGCTGTGATCACATCCACGGGTTTGAGCCAACGTTCCCCATTTTGATCATCCGTCCGAAGGTGGTGGGCTAGCCCACCATCTTCTGACGGCTGCTGTGGACCTGAAGGCCCATCCACCCGTCAGAAGATGGACCACCTTCGAACGGGGGGGGAAAAAAATAGAGGACTTTTCATTACTTTCACCCGCCGGTCCCCGTATGGTCCCTCTATGAGGGACCATACGGGGCTATTAACTGTTGAGTCACAAGCTAAAGCTTGTGATTTGACAGTTAATAACTAAGGCAGGGTGCATCCCCGCTCTTCCCTTTCAGGGAAGAGTATACGGGGTCTGAGGGTCGCATGCGGACCCTTTTGCCCGTAGATCGGGTTTGATTCATTAAAAAATAAGGATCCACTTTTAAAGAAGAAGATCCTACAAAAGATGCACTTATAGTTCCTTCAGCAATCCATTTAATAACACCTGCGCCAAGCTCCATCTAACGACCCCGTGTGGTCCCTCATAGAGGGACCATACGGGGACTCACTTACTTCGACAAACGAATCTAGGATATTAGGAAAGTCTTTTATAGGTTTCATCAAGGATTTCTCTTCTTTTTTGCAAGCGTGAACTAAAAGTTTGCTTGCATCTGTTGGAGACTTGTGATCTATAACGTCTTGTTCTCTTGGTGGACCTTGAGTAATTTGTTTCTCCTTAAAGTCTCTCTCTAACTGTCGGAGAATATCATACGCCACCCAAGGTGGACATTGAAACTCCGGATTACAGGGAGATTCAGAATATGAAGTCCATGGACCTTTTTCTTTAGCATTATTCGTTTTTCTTCCGGGTTTAGCTTTAAAGCTAAAACCACCAGGAAGTTTAGTATCTGTGTAGTCTTCGGAAAGCCAGCTTCCGTATTGGTAGTCCGAGCTTTCAAGCTCGTCTGCGAATATGGCACTGGCGGCTTCGGCTTGAGACATTAGATCTATTACGAATGCTTTGGAATAATCTTTGGACGAGAAATTTGGGGATGACAATGTTGCTTGTGTGGAGAACACTCGTGCTAATTCTTTATTGGCATTATTAACTAAAGAACCGGTATACCTCTGCCCTGAGGATAACTCTTTAGAATCTAAATGATTTGTCATAATTGTAAGTTTATTTTGATTTATTATTTTACTATATGGGTGTTCCAGTAATAATAAGATCGTGTCTTACGACTGCGAACGCAGAGTAACTCCTTCAGGACTCAGACTATCGTAACCAGTCTAAATTCTAGATTCTAGAACGATTAAATCGTTCTTAGAATTATAGAATTTATACAATAAGTTCGAACCTAGTCCATCTTAAATTGGTGGGAGGCTGTCACTCCCATAGCACTGAATTTCGCAGATTTCTCATTGCAAAAAGATGTTCCTTACTTGTTGTTACACATTCTTAATGCCTATGTATTACTACATTTGCCTAGGATTCTTAGCAATACTACATACTTTCTATCCCGGTTACGTGGCCACGGCTTAAGTTAAATACAAACAAAACTTAAGAACTTTAATAGTCTTTACAACCAACTGAACATAGTCAATTCCTCTTGCTTAAGGAGGTTTGGGTTCATACGAGCAAGTTGTATATTAGAACTCAGAGGCTGGCCTACGGAAATAACCGCTGTTATAAATAACACTATCATGCCCTCTGGTGATTACGCCATTAAGAACGTGAGTCATTATAAATCACTTTATAATGATCGTGTCTTTACATTAGATCCTTGCAGCTGTCAGACCAGTATGTGCGGAAACTAAGATTCTTAGAGAATTTCTCGTGAATTTCACTTTAGATACATTCGGAAGTGATCCTAGTTAGAAACTCTAGTAACGAAACATTTATTTCCTCTTAGGTAGATCCGGGGGGTTGGTGGGAGGCTGTCACTTCCATGGCACTGAATTTCGCAGATTTCTCAGGAGCTCCCGGGGGGCTTATTCAAGCCCCTTGAAACGACTTTACAAACAGTAACTCTCTCTGAGCAGCTGTTCCCAAGAGGTTAAAAAGGGGTTTATAGTTATTCAATAATAACTCTAAATCCTTTTTAGCTGCTTCTAACTCGGGAGATAGAACTAGAGTAAAATTGATAATACGCCAACTATAGTTGGCGGGGTGAAGGGGAGGAGGGGTTTAAGTAAAATTAAGTAACTTTTCCGGGGCAGTTATGAGCTATCCTTCCGGAAGGTGTTATAAACCAATTTTATGTAGCATCATAGGAGGCATATGCGGTCCCAACAATCTTTGTAATTCGGGCAGTGCTTTAACTGATATTCTGATTCTAAATCCATTGTTTCTTTTGTTAACGGCACATTCCAAATGAAATTTGTCTATTAAAACACTAGCTAAAAGGTTTACTTCTTCAATAGTAAAAGATTCAGTACAAAGAATAACAGCTCGGTTTGTTTTGTCAAAGCATCCATCGTCGCAAATTTTTGCATCTTCGATGCAAAACTCCTATTTTTTTATGGGCCGTAGGTCCTTAAAAAAAATAGGGGCCAGTAACATAGACCCAAAGGAGTAAGCAGTTCAGCTATATTATGCGGAATTACCTTTTTAATCATCCGTCCGAAGGTGGTGGGCTAGCCCACCATCTTCTGACGGCTGCCTAGTGGATAGAATAAATTATATAGATCGTTAAAGCAGAATAATGAATAAGTATTAAATCTTATATAACTAGAAGTATTACCAGTTCTTTTGTCTGGAGCCCCATTATAGATTTGGGGACTCATTGCAACATAGGTTTTAAACAATTCATATAAATACATAAGGTAATCTTTGTGTACTAGACCTTGGCAGAATGTTAAACGAACACTTAAAGTTAAATTTGATCTTCTCTGCATATACAGATCACCCAACAGAAGACCCACAAGAATGTCTTTAATTTCTTGGGGTAAGGAGAACTCTGATCGTTCTGCTTTAGTTAAGTATTTTTTATTCATAAGTATTGGCTAATTGATGGTCGATTTTATAAGAGTTCTGGTTAAAGGTATGCCGGGGAATATCCTCGAATAGATAATAAAGGCTCACGCCTTGCCAGCCTTGTCGTTACGAAAATAACAATGATTATAATAGATACAATCACCCCTACTTCGCCGATTAAAACCTAGGAAACCTGGTTTAATAAGGTCAGGTTAACAGAACTGGAGTATGGGTAAAATTTGGCTGAGGTTAGATTTTTCTAACCTCTTCTTTTAGAAAATTTGACCCCAAATCCCATTTTCTGGTAATTCTTTCTCCATCTGTGATAGCTCTAGATTGTTATTTATCATGTTATTCATTATTGATCTCATGGTTAGTGTAGGTCAATAGCGTCTTTTAGATATGAACAAACTAGAATGCTGAAAACGTAAGCCTGGATTACTGAAACTGCTAATTCTAATCCAATTAAGGCAACGAAGATAGCAAATGGTACTAGAGTAACTACAAACATTAGAGCGCTGCTTGTAAACATTGTAAATAACAAGCTACTTAAGATTTTTAATAGTGTGTGTCCAGCTACCATATTAGCAAATAATCGTACTCCTAAAGAAACGGCTCTAGCTAAGTAAGAGATTAATTCAATTAAAACTAATAAAGGTACTAAAGCTAAAGGTGTTCCGGATGGGATAAAGAATGAAAAGAATCTTACTTTGTGAATTGATAAAGCTAAAATTGTAACTCCAATAAAGATTGTTAAACTTAGACCTAAACTTACTACGATAGATGTAGTTATAGTGTAGTTATAAGGCACATTACCGGTAAGATTAGCAATGATAATGAAAAAGAATAGAGAATAGATGAATGGAAGGTATACTTCATTTGTTGTTCCTATTTGATCTCTAACCATTGTGTTTATACTTGCAAATGAACTTTCTAGACCAATAGACCATTTAGATGGAACTAATTTTCTATTATTACTTGACACGAAGTGTAGACCTAGTGTTAAAAATAATAATACAATAGAGTAAAGAGCTAAGTTTGTTAAAGTTAAATTAAAAAAACCTAGTATAGGTGCATTAATTCCTATTAAGTTTGTAACTTCAAATTGTTCTAAAGGAGAACTAATAAAGTGTGTTGTGTTTAGCATGGTATGATTTGATTTATCGATCTTATGACTTCATGTTTTGTGTACCTATATTAGGCAGACTTATTTTATTAAGCCTGCCTTATTATAGCATCCGCCCTGGCGGAAAAGAGCGTTAGGGGAATCCCGCGCCAGGAGTATACTCATGGCGCGGTTATGCCGACACGACAGCGTTACTCATGACGCCCGTGTCGTAAATATTAGAGGGACCCCAAAACTAAGGATAGGTACGACCGCCCTGTTCCTTTGTTCAGTTACCCCGATTGGCTAAGCTGCTCCTGACGCCAACCCCCGGCCTTCGAAAAAAAACAAAGGACGGGGCGCGAGCGAGAGCGAGGTACTGAACATAGGATTGAAAAAGGGCGGGACGTCAATTGACGCCCGAGGAGGGGGTGTTATGGAAATCCCCCGTGCCCTGAGTATAAACATGGCGCGGTTAGAGGGACCCCATAACTTAGTAATATTTCTGGTAAGGTCTTATAGGATGGATGATTAATCTCCACCCTGGAAGACGGTAAATTAAGGGAATCCCTCTAAA